AACCCGTAAACCCTAAATCCTAAACCCTAAACCCCTAAACCCTAAACCCTAAACCCCTAAACCCTAAACCCTAAACCCTAAAACTCAAGCTAACTCTCGGGCATTAAGCGTTATAGCATTACGGAAGCAACGACGGATCCTTGATTAGTAAACCCGAACCCTAAACCCTACAACGTACCCACAGGCTCCGTAGTAGTTCCCTTTCAATGGTTTATACCTTAGGAACCTATGAGGTAACCCACAAAAGGAGCTAGCATGGAGCCTATGGGTAAAGCCCAAACCCCAACCTCCCCAAGCCCTAAACCCTCAAGCTGCAGACCCTAAACCCTAAAACATAAACCTCCCTAAGCCCTAAACCCTCTAGCTGCGAACCCTAAACCCGAAACCTCCCTAAGCCCTAAACCCTCCAGCTGCAAAGTACAAACCCTGAACCCTAAACCTCCCTAAGCCCTAAACCCTTTAGCTGCAAACCCTGAACCCTAAACCTCCCTAAGCCCTAAACCCTCTAGCCGCAAACCCTGAACCCCAAACCTCCCTAAGCCCTAAACCCTCAAGCTGCAAACCGCAACCCGAAAGCCGACATGTCACAACCAGACATGTTCGCTGGAGTCCTGTTCCTATAGCCTTCGGGGACACCCGGAGGTCGACAACATGAACCCTAGAATATAGGGGTCTAGGGTTTAGGGTTTAGGGTCTTAATAAGTAGAAGAGGGTTTTGGGGTATGTTATGCTACGGAAGCCCAAGAGTAGTGATAATCATTAATAACGGCTTCTGCGGTTAAGGGTTTAGGGATTAGAACAGGGTTCGGGTGAATAGCGCTATGAATAATTCTGGAGGGGGTACTAGGGGCTACGAGTACTATTTGGGGTTTTGGGGGCCTTAGATAAGATTTCAAGATTTCACGTGTTGGGATATGGTTCAGAAGTTTTTGGGGTGGTTGATGTTTGTGGATTGCAGGTGCCGGCTCCTACTCTTTATGACTAGTGACTGGCAGGTGTATGAATGTTCATCATTAGTAACCATATTGTTTTGATTCATATAACGTTAGTATGATTGCATTGTACTGCTGCCACTTTTGCCTGGAACTGCTGCTACAGCTCGATACGGTATTCTATATGCTTGAATACCATGTACTGCGTACTCACAGGCTATACACTACTATTTACTATGTACCATCATTATAGCATATATGAACAACTATGCGCTAAAACCGTACACCAATCACAGCTTCAAACTACATGACATTAACCATAAACTAAAATAGAGATATGCTACGCACTTGGCCTGTATACGATATACTATGTACCAACAACTAAATATTAACCTGCATACTATACGATCTGTACTGTATACTGCATCTTCTGTATAACATGGTATATACTGCATACGGTATATTGGAGGCTGTTTACTTCATAATACTGCTCTTGCTGCTAGTAGAATTTCAAACACTTCTGCTGTAACAACTACGACTACCATTCCGACAACTACTAATATAAGCGACTACTATGACTGCTTCCACAATGTGTCGTTTGCGCGTAAAGCCCTAAACCCGAACCCTAAACCCCCAAACCCAAAACCGTAAACCCCAAAAAGCCCAAACCCTAAACCCCAACGGTCCAAGAGGCCCTAAACCCTAAACCCTAAACCCTAAACCCTAAACTCAGCGCCCGAGGCCCAACCCCGAAGGCTACAGGCTTAAACGATCTGGGCATACTTCTTTAAAGTAAGGTCCCTGTTTCCCTGTTCAGGTCGGAACCCGGTGGAGGGTTTAGGGTTTATGGTTTAGGGTTTAGGGTTGTTGAGGACCTTTACCCTGTTCAGGTCACCAAAATCGGGCGGAACCCTTTCAAAAAAGATCCTAAAAGGACCCTAATTTATAGAACTACCCGGTACCCATATGGGGTTAAGGGTTTATGGAGTCCAACTTAGGGTTCAACCCTAAACCCTAAACCCTACCCTAACGCCTAAACCCTAAACCCCGGTTCAGAGTTTAGGCGCCTCGGGCCTAGAGGTGCGGAAACTTTGGAACCCAAAGACTTGAGAACCCAAAAGCTTCTAGAGAAGAGATGCTAAGCTTCGAGAGTTGTGCGGTTAGTGGTGGAGGGTTTAGGGTTTAGGGTTTAGGGTTTAGGGTTTAGGGCTTAGGGCTTAGGGTTTAGGGTCGAGGGCTTCGGGGTATTGGTTTCATCAGGCTTTGAAGATTTGAGGCTCAGGCAGGCACACATCCGTAAGACTCTGGAAGCTCACCTAAACATGCGGCGGTGTAGCCGGTTCAGGCCCTAAACCCTAAACCCTAAACCCCTAAACCCTAAACCCTAAACCCCTAAACCGTTAAGGCACCTCGCACACGCTGTGGCTTCGCTGGCTGTTGCCGGGCCTGCGGCGACTGAACAAGCGAGTTAATGTATATGGTAAAAGGGTGTTGGAGTAAAATATACTGGAATAGCTACGATAAGGAGCGCTAAGGAATAGGATTGCTAATTACCCATAGGCCCTAAAGTAGTTCCTAAGGTAACCCCAAAAAGGAACTACTATGGGGCCTACAGGTATTCACTACCTGAAAGCTCTTCGCTATTAGTCTCCCAGCCCCGAGCCTGGCAAAAACTCAACGAATCTCAAGCCGAAGCGCAGGGAATTCGAAACGAACAACGAAGCCCTAGGGTTTAGGGTTTAGGCCCTATTCCAATAGCTCAGGCGCCATACACACATGAACTCTTCTAGCAAGCCTCATAGAGCTTTTTGTAAGTGGAGCCCTGTTCTAGCTGCTGAAATACCTCTGAGCCTAAACCCTAAACCCTAAACCCCGCATCCATCCTTCAACCCCAGACAAACCCGGGATGCAGGATTTTGGGTTTACCCAACCCTGAACCAATCCGGAGTTGGGAACCCTACAACAAGGTAAACTCCATGCATAGGCTTTAGGGTTTAGGGTTTAGGGTTTAGGGTCATATCAACTTAAACTCACAGACCCCATAGTGAACCCTATGAAACCCTAGCGAAACTTGTTTCAAGCCCTCGAAGGAAACCCCAACACCCAAAACGACAGCCTTCTCTACCAGGTCCAGTAGAGGTAAGTCCTCCTCAGAAACCTCCTCCTTCGACGGTTTAGGGCTGAGGTTTTAAGTTTAGGTTTGCCATCACTAACTACTAAACTACTGTTCATACAGCTGTATATTTACATATAGGCATGCATATCTAGATGTATACATGTAAGTATGACAACATGTACATATGTATGCGTGTATACCTGCATATATAGATATAGACAAGTGTAGATATTGTATGTATATCTATATGTATATAACTGTGCCTGTGTACATATATATATATATATGCAAATACATACATACATACATACATACATACATACATACATACATACATACATACATACATACACACAAACTATGCTGACTGATTGAGGTGACAGATAAACTATGTCGTCTTGGCATCCTAGTGTTGCCATTGCATCCGGCAGGTTTCTCTGCTTTTTGGATCTTTTTGGTGGGTTCGGGCTTTCGGGCTTGGGCTTGGGCTTAGGGCTTTAGAGGCTCAGGGTTGAGGGGTTACGGGTTTAGGGCTCTTCTAGCCTTGAAGAGATCCGGCTAGGGGTTTTAGGGCAATAACATGCGCAATGTAGGGTTTAGGGTTTAGGATTTAGGGTTTCTGGGTTTAGGGTTTAGGGTTTGTCTATATACACACAAGCTGCAACACCCAGGCCCTCCGGAAGGCTTAGGCTTCTCTGTGCGTGACGCGAAACCCGCGCTGAAGTTCTTGGAGCTTAGGGTTCAGGGGCTTGGGGTTTAGGGGTTCAGGGGCTTGGGGTTTAGGGGTTCAGGGGCTTAGGGTTTAGGGGTTCAGGGGTTTAGGGTTTAGGGGTTCAGGGCTTAGGGTTTAGGGCTTTAAGGGTCAGGGGTTTAGGGTTTAGGGGTTTAGAGGTTTAGGGCTTCGGGTTTAGGGCTTTAGGGTTTAGCGTTTAGGTGTGCATGTTGTCCAACTGGCGCTTGACCCATAAGAAGCAGTGACTGACTGTGGAAATCTCGGTGATTTGGGTTGATGTTCAAGGGTTTAGGGTTTAGGGTCGAAACTCAAAGCAACCACTCGGTGGAACGATTCAGGGCATTAGCTCGAGGGTTTAAAGAACTCTTTGTATTTGTCACGACCCACGGGGCTTCAGGGCTTTAGGGTTGCCCCAAAGAGTTGAATACCCCGAACGCGACAAAGAAGCGACGAACGTGTGCACGTGAGGACGGGGCTTAGAATCTGAGTGGCCGGTGGGACCTCGACCACTCCCATATAAGGGGTTACGTATGTTAACTCGCGGTACGAAAACTGTACTAAAACTGTGGCTGCTCCGGAAGGTTCCTCCAGGTCACTCTAGTGTGTAATGGTTCCTATCTTCAGAATACAGAATGAGCCTTCAACTTTACGCCGGACAGGGTCGTGCACTCACACGTATGTGCTGGACTACGTCGCGACGAAATAAATCAGACCCAAACGGACTACCCCCAAAAATTCCTAGAACCCACTCCTAAACTTATAACCCCTAGACCCCTAAATCGCTATATACCCTAAACCCCTAAATCCTCAAAACTCTCAACCTTTAAAACCCAAGCCCTCGAACCCAAAACACCCCTAAACTCCCTAAACCCCTATAATATAGGGGCCTTAATACATGGAACGGGGTTTCGAGGCCCATTCTGCTGTAATTGTAATCAGGAACCCTCCAAAATAGTATTGGTAAGCATTCAGAACCCTATCCTTACTTCCCCAATAAGCCAGGAAAATAGAAGGTTAAGCTTTCAGATTACAACTAAGTTATAAGAACCCAAAAAGTTTCAAGGTTGGGTATTGGAAAACTAAAGCTAGAAACCCCAAACCCTCAATCTTATAGTCTATAAACCCTAAACCCTAAACCCCTAAACCCCTAAACTCCTAAACCCTAAACCCTAAACCCCTCAACCCCAAACCCTTATAGTCTATAAACCCTAAACCCCTAAACCCTAAACCCTAAACCCTAAACGCCTAAACCCTAAACCCTTGTAGTCTATAAACCCTAAATCCCTTATTCCCCATCTCCGAGCCCTGCCTCGTTCAGCTGCGGCTCTCCGCACGCCTCGGAGCCCGGGGAGTCCTCACCGCTAAGCCCCTCCGGATCCTGGACAAAAGAGACGGTCAAGGCTCACAGTTTTTGGGGTTTTGAGTTTTGGGAGCTTTGGGGGCTTTGGGTTCAAAGTTTTGGTGGCTTGGGGGCTAGGACTTTCAAGCTTCTGGGTCTAGGGCTTAGGATTTAAAGTTTGCAGGTCTAGGGTCGTCTTGTCAGGCGCTGCAAAGCCCTGCCAACCGTCACTCCACCTTCGAAGGTCATTGAAACGTATAACGTACAGCCAGAAAACCCGATATTCCCGGTAGTTGGAAAGATCCTCCTTGAGGGACTTGGGTTTGGGGTTGTATGCTTTGGGGCTTAGGTGGTAGTGTTTGGGGTTTAGGCGGAAAAGTCTGTTGTCAAGCGCACGTTGGTGTCGGGCAGTGTCTCGGTCTTGGTCAGACTCGCCACAGTAAAGCTTTAACCCTGAACCCTAAACCCCACAACCCTAAAACCAGTACAAGTATGGTTTAGGGTCGCGTCCCAAAGTCCGACCCTGTAGACCCCCCCCAGAAGCCAACACCACGCTGCCCAGCTCTCCGGCAAGCTTGGGCACCTTCCCCGACCCCCCCGACCCTCCATTTCCCCTCTATTCGACCCTAAATTTAAAGGAAACTACAGGCGGGGAGTTTAGGGTCTATAGGGCTTCTATAAGGCTTCTATAAGGTATATAGACCTTCTATAAGGCTCCTATAACGGTATCTACCCACCTGAAACTGTCCTGGATAAATACCCATGATTTGGGATCATCTACCCCTACTTGCGGGTACAAGGAGAGACTTCAATGTACCTACCTAAACCCTAAACCCTAAACCCTAAACCCTAAACCCTAAACCCTAAACCCTAAAACACTTTTAGGGCACTTAAGGAGGGTCCTGGTTGTCTACATCGGCAGGAGGGAGCTCTCCAGCGCTGGCACAAGGGCCGCCGGCGGCGTGGCCGAACTGTGGCACGTCATCTCCCGCCTAGACTTTAGGGTGTGTAGGGTTTAGGACTTTAGGACTTTAGAGGTTTAGGGTTTAGGACTTTAGGACTTTAGGGGTTTAGGGTTTAGTAGAACTTTAGGAGGTTTAGGGGTTAGGACTTTAGGAGTTTAGGGGCTTGGGGCTTAGTGGGTTTGATGTTAGGCAGGCTCTAGTCTAAGACGGCACGGCAACACCGCCACTGACAAAGAAACGAAGAGCCGACGCCCGCAACATTAACATTGCACGCCCCGAGGCCCCTTCTTCGTAAGTCACCTTCTTTTAGGGGGGATTCTTGTACAAACTTGCATACACTGTCAGGGATAATATCTGACCCCCTAATCCTGCAACCCCTCGGCTTAAACCCTAAACACCTAAACCTCCTAACGCCTTAACCTAACTCTAGTGTACCCGAATAAGTAGCTACTATTCAGGACCACAATGGCTCCATAAAAGGGCACTTGGGGGGGTCTGGTAATATAGGGGCCTTCATAATTAGAATAGGCTTTTCGGGGTATATTGTACTATAAGTATGATAAGGAACACCCCAAAATAGTATAGGCACTTGTTTAGGCCCCTACATTAAACCCAGGCACCTGGAAGAAATCGGCGCACGGCGGCACTCCCACCGAGGCGCTAGCAGGGGGCAGCACCGTCGGCTCCTGAACCCCCCTAAACCATATAGGGACCACAACAATTAAGGTGGTGTTTCTATACGGGTTAAATCAACCAGAGCAGGGTTTGGAGATATACTCTCGGGAATGCAAAGGGGTACACTAATTATTAAGATCTGCAAAAAACCTTCCGTTGCGGTTGCGGGGGAGGGTCTTGATTGAAAAGCCTGGGGCAAACGACTCCAGCCGCAGGGCTTCGGGTTTTGCGTGGCCGCTCAATATTCCTATTTCTTGATGGAAGGCCAAAGCCTTAAGATGGGGCATTTATGCCTTGTCTAACAACCCTAATCCCTCAACCTTAGAACCCCGAATCCCTAAAACCCAAGCTTTTCACTCTACACCCCCTGAAGCCCTGATATAGCCCTCAACCCCCCTGCCCTTAAACCCCTAAAGCCCCAAACCTCGTCCCAGTCGATGCGGGAGGGCTCTCTCAGGGAGTCTCTTCCAGAAGGCTGTACCGGTGCCACTCCGACTGCTGCCGGCGGCTCCTGGCACTCTACAAGAAGGCTTCAAGAGGGGCTTTAAGGGGGCTTCAGGGGCTTCAAGGGGGCTTCAAAGAGGGGGCTTCAAGGGCTTCAAGGGAAAGGTTTCAGCGACTACGCTCCGGCTTGCAGCTCCCGAAGACTCCAATAGCAGGGTTCATAATTAGAATGGGGTTTTCGGGCATGTTATATATACTATATCTATAATAAGGAGCCCCACGATAGTATAGGTAATTTTAAAAGCCCCTATATTACATACCTTGCCTTCATTGAACACGTAGGTTTTTGGGTAGGGTTCGGGATCCCTCAAAGAATCGAAGGTAAGTTCCCTAATCAAACGGCTTTGGGATTCCAGGCTGGTTACGTGAGGTGTTCCCTCGCAGCATCTGGGATCGGATACAAGGCTTGCATGGCGAGTTGTGGCGGGCGAATATTGATGTTTTTGCTACGATTGCCCTTAACTTGTTGTCGTGGTTATGACTGCTATACAGCTGCTCTTCAGCGTTTGACATTTGACTGCTATTCTTACCATACTCATTCTTATCCAAACTCTACCTGCTGGTGGCATTTGCATGTCAACGTCTGTGTGGTGCTGCGGGTTGAGCGCGCTGAACCCAGGGCGTTCTCTGCTGATTTCGAGGTGTTGGGATGGATCGGGGTTTAGGGTTTAGGGTT